CATATTTTTCTATCAATTCAGGCTGAAAGAAAATTGAATAATAATAAGGATTTTCGTAATAATTAAACTTACTTACCACAGTTAGATCTCCATCATTAAATTCACTAAATTCCACAACTGAATTTGGATACTCTTTTAGTATATCATCTATATCACTTGTTGGATTAGCCCGAGAGCCACCCAACAATGCTAATATTAAAACAAAGCGGAACATTTTGATAGAATCTGCTTTTTGTACGTTACTTTTATAGTACACTTCATTTTTTTTTTTAGTTTAATCTCGTTGCTGTATTCAATTTGATAGTATTGTATGTTATCTCGTTAAAATCTTAAAAAAGAATTAATACTGATAATGTATTTAAAAAATCAAAGTAATTAAAATGTATGTAAATAATTTAGTGTAAGACAATGGAATAATTAAACTTTTATTAAAATTTAAAAAAAAATCTTCTTTTGCGGGATTTCTTTATTTATATAAGCTAATATTTCATCTTATTTGTTAATTTATTACAATTAGTGGTGGATTAACCATGAAGGCAGAGAGGCACATGTCTAGGCTCTTCAGGCTTTGGTGTTCCTAATTAATTTGTCTAGGAGATCTGATTATCCATAATTCGTATTCTAAAAATTACACAAATTGATCTTATTTCTGGTTTGTATTTGTGTTTCTTCGTACGTCTTCTGCTATTGTTTATTGAAATTATATCGTAATAGAGTTTTTGGAGTAATTTAGATTTACACCAAACCATTATGATATGGTTTAGCAGCATATGGAATACCTCTTTGTGGGGAAGATCAGAGTTGTCTCCTGAGGGTCAGCAAATATATCTATGAATATATATAGTTTTACGAATTTTGTATAGTCTCGACATTCATATTAATGCAGTGGTCTCCAAACTTGATGTTACAACGCCTTCCTCAAAAGTATGTAATCATTTGGCGCCTCCTCTTTCATAAAAGGAACGCGCATTACAGCAACATGGATAAGAGTACAGTAATATATCGATACTTGCTAGATTCCCCAAACATTCAGTTTTCATATGCATCTTTTGGATTCATTCTATGTATTATAGTTTTCGAGAAAATCAATGAAATGTGAAAACACTGCTTTTTCGAGAATTTTTTAAATTTTGAACACAAATTACAGCCAAACGGCTAAAACCACAGTAATATATCGATACTTGCTACATTCCCCAAACATTCAGCTTTCATATGCATTTTTTGGATTCATTCTATTTATTATAGTTTTCGAGTAAATCAATGAAACGTGAAAACACTCCTTTTTCGAGCATTTTTTAAAACTTGAACACGTATTACAGCCAAACGGCTAAAACCACAGTAATATATCGATACTTGCTACATCCCCCAAACATTCAGCTTTCATATGCATTTTTTGGATTCATTCTATGTATTATAGTTTTCGAGAAAATCAATGAAATGTGAAAACACTGCTTTTTCGAACGTTCTAATTTCATTTTTTCAACTTTGAGCGCGTATTACAGCAATATGGATAAGAGTACAGGAATGTTTCTATACTTTAGCAGATATTTGGAAAATTGCTCACTACGTCCCCTTAGGCTAGTGCACGCTGGAAAACGCTGTATTAATGTACACTAAACTTCAGTCAGAGAACGAGTTAAACAGAAGACTAATAAAGAATATGTTTATATAATACACAGCCAGTAACTGATATGACGTACGTACGCATTTCTGTACGTCTGTACAATTAAGTATGAATTATCAAACGCAAGTTAATATCGTTATTTATTTGTTTTTTTTTTATATTAAATATTATTGCTCTCACTTACATCAATAATAAAGCAAATCAAATTTATTCGAGATAAATCGAAACGTAATGGGAACAGTTAAATTCTGTTAATAAGTAAAAAAAAAATACTTACCTTAAGTATTTTATTACACATTATTATTATGCATATTCATTTTTTCTCTGTAAGAAAATGTCGAATAATTAATTTAAAATGTATTCACAAAATAAATAATACTAAAGTATGCTTATTAAATTATATTAAATTCCATTCCATTATTACAATAACAATTGTTCCATTAAACTAATGACTTTGTTATAAACCAAGTGTGGTGCATCAATTCCCCACATATAGTCCAAATGGTTCCATTTAGGATCGGCGACCAGCATTTTCGCTTGAGAATTACCCAATTCAGTGTACAAACGGTTTACATCTACTTCAGCGGAAAGCCAATCATTGCGGCTGTAGAACAAATAAACAGGAGCTACAACTTTCTTTAATTTATAGTTTGGTGGAAAGATTGATCCATATTTCTTCTGGTTACCAATAAGTCCATGATCGTACTGTCTGAAAAATCCTGAAACAATTTAATTGTATTAATAATATCGCTACAATAATATTTACTACAAACCTGATTTAATTTCTTGTGCATAATGAAGGAGTTGTTTAGTGGCTGCTCCGGCCGGCGTGTGCCCTAAGATAATGGGCAACAACGTATTGTTCATTTGATTTTTATTGAAACCGCAAAGCACGAACAGCGTATTCGTGCAGACGGGTTGTAAAACCGATTCATCGCACCAAGGCTTCGAAATGTTGTGCAAAAATCCGTCAGTGGGCATAAATTCGTGCATTCCGATAAGACCCAAAAGGAATTCGATGCCTCCTTCAGCGACGGAAATGAGTTTAAGCAGTGGACTAGTCATGTGTTTCATGTAAGCAATTGGAGCCAAACTGAAGTGTGCTATTATTTTATCGTTGTACTCTGGTCTCTCCGAGCACATAATGTAGAAGGTGGTGGTTCCCTGAGAGTGACCGATATGGAATAACTTTGATTGGCCGGTCTTATTTAATACGAAGTCGATCATTTCTGGTACATCGATTACAGCGATTTCGTGCCAAGAGAAATCCCAAAACTCTTTAGCATCATCATCAGGATCCAAAGTATTGTGCTTTCGCGAATAACGATTTCCTCTTGCGTTCCCCATCCAAACATCATAACCAGCATCGGCCAATATATAAGCTATAAAATATAATCACAAATGACTATTTATTACAACAACAACAAACATTTTTAAACATACCTAAGCCCTTTTCAGGTCCTGGTACAACCCAATCAGCCGAAGAACATAACAGGCCATGTTGTACATAAGCAATTGGCCTTCCCTCACTATAAGTTTGATCAATACCATGTGGGATTCTATGCAACGTCAAATTATATCCATCAGAAGTTATAATATTGTGAACTTCTACTGTATAACCATATTTTTCTATTAAATCGGGCTGAAATATATAAATAATATACAAGCACAATATAATATTAGAATAATATAACTTACAACTAACAGATGCGCATCCTCTGGATCAGCTGAGTCTTCAGCACTACTCAGGTCAATAAGATTTTGAATATCTAATTCATGCGTGTTACCCTGTGCCCCGACCAGGAGCAATAAAGCTACTGTGTAAAACAGCATCTTGTTGACTGTATGCAGCAATAGGATGTCATGCAATATTTATATGCATTCGACCAGGCGTATTCTCCCACCGAAGAAAGAAAAAATGTGATAACGTAAAGGGTAATTACAGTTTCCGCAATTCCGTGTCATATTATATGTAAATCCGCACATTATCACATTAATAAAGCAAACAATTAATTCTATTTACATTGAACATTCACATTATTTGTTTAAGTATTTTAGATCGTATTGTTTCATTTTTTTTGTCTGTGTAATTACTAAAATAAAAATTATATTTAATTATTAGATCATTTGGATTATGAACGGATCAGACAATAATGGGTACGTTTTTTTTTATTCTAGAATATGTTAAATTTTGAAAAAAGTGATCTTTAAATCCATTTTACTTTTTTATACTGACATTCTTTCTGATATTGCTGAAATTATTTGAAGGTGTAAGAAATATGTAATAATATTGTAATAATAAATGAACTGTATTGCTTAAGATTTAAATTAATCATCATTTATTTAAAGAGCGTGCAGATATAAAATTTATCAATGTTGTAACAAGGCTGACGAAATCTTCTACTGATTTGAAACTGGCTTATGTACATAATCCAATACAAACTGAACATTATATATTTTAATTTAAGTTAATTAATTAAACAATTCATAATTTAATGCATTTATAGTAACTTCTGGAATCAGGTAACAAATTTAGACATCTGCAGATATTTTTTTTAGTAAACTTTAGTATGAAGTTTCCCATTTGTTGAAAAGCAAATAAAAATGGTAACAACAACATAATAATACTCACCTTTATACTAAAATCTAATTAATTTGTAGTTAAACTTTGATTTTTGTTTTCCTAATTAATTATAAACTAAATTAGGGTTGATGTAATAATAAAATGTATATAAATATTTCAGACATTTAATTTGGAAAGAAATACACATATATTTTTTTTTTATTTAAACAAAATGTATATATTTAAAACATTATTCCGATCTATATAAGTAAATTACATATATATTTTTAAATTTTTAAATTTATTTGTAAACACATTTCGGAAACGGCAGTGTTCATATTTAATTCATCGTAACGCTTTCGCGTACGGTTCACAATAACCATCGAACATATATATTCATCATCAGTAATAAATAATGGACAATTTGAGCATAATTTTGAATACTACTACTGACTACATTTTATCTTTATTTAGTATTAATTAATTTCCTTATTTCGTATTCACCGATCATCTATATACGTTTACATATTTTGATACTCTACCAAGAGAAAAGTTTAATTTTCTTATTACTTCTTTTTTTGTTATCATTAATCAAGACATATACTCCTCTATAACATTATTAATATTACATATATTATTAATTTTTTCTTTCCTTTCAATATATTTTTTTTAAGTAATAACACACATATATTTGCGCTTTCGTTTTATAGATAGAATTTCACATTTAGAAGTTTTTAATATAAAGATCAAATTATCTTTTCTTTTTTGACAAAATTTCTTAAAATTACTAAAATTGGTAAAATGGAATCACAAAAACGATTGCGACCGCAAAAAAATACCGGAAACTCTTGTATATATATATTATCAGGGTATCAAAATTATGTCTCGTCAAATTTCATGAATAATTATACTTATTTCATTATATTAGTATTGCCGGTATAAATGTAAAAATTGCTCAAGTTTTCTGGTTTCCTGCGGCGCGCAATCCGAATAATGTACACATTTATTAAAAGAATTAGTGTTAAATAAATATTAATGAAATAATCTTAAGATTAATATATATAATATATTAAAAAAGTTCTTTAAAATAAATTAGTTGATCCACATATATTTTTTTTTAAGTACGTAAAATTTGTTTTCAATTTTTTTGGTTTTAATTATATTTCTTTGGTATATGGTCCACATAAATTGCATCGACAGTACGTTTTTGAAGACCTATGTTGTTGTTCTTGTGTTTACTACTAAAAAGCTTATTGATATAAAAGTAGAAATCGAAGATGCATGTATTTTATCTATGTGATTATGAGACGAAATCTATTTTATTTTAGTTGATTGATTAATATTAACATCCATTTGCTTTTATGTATTATTCTTTTCTTTTTAATTCTTCTATAAGCTTTCCATTCCTTTAAATGTAAGTAGTATAGTTCTGTGCTTTCTGGATACATAGTGAATCGTAAAAGGGTAGACATATACCATCTAAAGAGTCCAATATCCTGGCTCGCACTATCAAGTAACATCTATTTGTCGTTCTCTTTATACTTTAAATCCATTGATTTCTTGCCTTCAGTAGTATGACGAGTAAATGCATAATATAATGTTTAAATAAATATCATTGTTTTCTGTGTTTCTGTTCTTTTAGATATGTGAAATTATTTACAGTGAATATAAAATAATAAATAAATTCTTTAACAAAAATAAATTTTTAAAAATCTCAACACTCATACATAATAATTTCTTTCGTGGTATTTTGTTTGTTTTTGCATTTTCAGATTTTTCTTTCCATTGATGACTACTTGACTTATTCGAGTCTCGCCTTGTAGCTGGTCTTCCAGATTTCAGCAAGTGTCACGGCCGAATGGAAACGATGGAAAATGCACAGCGGTAATGTGAGACGCTGGATTATGGCCCAAGCCAAGAAACCATAGAACTCCAATTGGATGGGATTCGCTTCAACCTTCTGCGCTTCGAACGTGTAAATGATCCACATGGTGATGTTGCAAATGAGCAAAAATGTCACCACTTGGCGACCTGGTTTTGAGCGATCGTGTTCAGGTAGATGAACACGGCGACGCGATACGTCGGCAATGAAAAGCAATTGTAGCACGACCTATAACATTTTCAGTTTTCTTTCTCACATCTGCAAATCAATCTCATTTTTTTATAATGTTACTTACTTGAACGACGGAGAGAATTCCAGTTACCATAACTAAAAGGTTTGGCTCCTTGGTGAAAGCATTCAATGATCCAGCAATTACGCTGAATGTAGCATAGATGAATAAACCGAAAGCGGAGACGCGGAGTAGGATATCGTTAAGATCGCTTTGTTCTTCCACTTTGAATTTCAGGGATTGGACGCTAAAATACATACATTTTCAATTAGCCGACATTCATTGCAACATATTCAGTTTAATTACCGTATAAAGCCGACGATGATTGCGATTATGCTGAAAGCCATCAAAGCGCAATGCGAGACATCGGCTAAATAGATGGCCAAAAGACCCAAATCTGGATGTTGAATCAGAACGAAGAAGAGTATCAAGCAAATAAGTGAACCAACCAACAAGAGCAAACCAAAGAAAAGTCCTTTAGATGCTCCGACGCAATCTACTTTTCCATTTTGTGCTTGCGCCATTGCCACAGCACGACGCGATAACATCAATTCCAAACGATGTTCCAAATCTTCTTCGGTATAATATCTACAAAGACAATTGTTAAATAAAAGCTTCAAAAGTTTTTTTTAATTTGAAAATTACTTGGGATTGCGGCCGATATGTTTCCACATGACATAAATCACAGCAGCACCAATCAATGAATATTCAATAATAAATGGAAATAAGTATGGAGCAGAGTCTTGTACGATAGTTCCCATGATATTTATTCTTCCGCAGCTCGCTTGCAATAGAGAATTATTGTCATAAGCGCTGAGAGCTTGAGGAAATATATTGTCCAATAACTCAGAACCATTAAAACTTTTGTCGATCACCTCATCCAATAGTACCTCAGGTTCTGCAACTGTTTTAAATTTATGAATATGTTACATTTAATTATTAAACGATATTATACCGGTGGGTACGTTAGCTTGGAAATTATTGTATCCAAAATTGAACAACTTAGCGAATGGAGTGCTAGCTAATGTAGTGCTTATTGTAGTCCAAGCCTTGGTGGTAGTAATAGTAGGTAAATTAGTTGTAGTAGTTGGATGGGATTGGAAATAGTTAGGCGATGCATTGATCTCTGATCTCCAAATCGGTGCTGGTGTCGTTGAAGTAGTAGTAGTTGTTGTAGTTAGTAAACCTTTTATATACAAAGTGATGGTTTTGTTAGTCGATCGATTTGTGCGTGTTAAATTAAAAAAAATAAATCACTTACGGGTTGTTGTTGGTTCAGTCGTAGTGACGAACGTTTGCAACGTAGTAGCTGCAGTTGTTGCGGCCGTAGTTATAATGTTTTTAAGAGCAGTGCTTATTGGTGAATCCATGGTTGTTGTCGTTGAAGCTGTGGTGGTTGTAAAAAGGGCATCAGGTACAGCAAGGTGCGATCCCATTATGGTATTAGCATTGCGTAAAGTATGAGCACGAATACTCTCTAAATAAACATTTAATTTAATACCCAAAACCGAAGAACTCATCAATAATTTTACCTGGGAACGTGGATGATGTATCATTTTTCTTATGATAAACTGTAATTTCCTTCAAGTATTCAAGAACTACTGTGCGAATCCAAACGCAAATGTTGGTGGCTACGACGTGCATTAAACCGAATCTCGCTATTACCTTAAACCTGTGGATGTTCAGCTGAAAATATTATTTATAGTTTAGTTAAAGCTCTTTAGTATTCTCGAAATCCATTTAAACGTACGCGAGAGTTCATGAAAATGAAGTACATTTGCATGAAGGTGAAAACCATCTGCAAGACCGGATTCACGCCTCTTAAAATCATGTAACATGGTGACGTGAACGGCACCTCGAAGAACGATCCAAATTCCAGCCCGTTGTAAATCATAGTTCCCAAGCCGAATGCTATAAAACAGAGCCGAAGCAAACAAATCCTTTTAATTGTGCACTTCAATGATGTGTCGACTTTAACCGGTTTTAAGTAACAATTAAGCTTTTGAGAGCTTAACATGTGGTGATTTTATCTCACCAGGGATTCATTTTGCCACTTATTATGTGAAGCTTGAGGGTATTAGGTAAGCAAATGACCATAAAGTCTAAATTAGTCATTGTTCCATTTAAACTTCACCACAGTCCTGCATCAGTGAACAGCTAATATTTGGAAACTTAAAATATAAATATTTATGAAGATTTTTTTGTACATCAAAAGTTATTTTAAAACGTTATGAACTAAAAACTAAGTACTTGCTATATAATGAAAGTAAAGTTTGATTGCTCGAACTTTAGATATGTGAATATAAGAAACTACCGAACCAGAAATGGCATTAAATTTGTTTCAGTGTAAAATAAAAGTTCGGTATAAATAAGTAAAATAAAGAAAATGGATTTTTGCTGCTGTAGTTTGAATATAAATGTAGCATATCTGTTTGCCCCAGTTCTTCGGTAAACGAGTTCTAAGCAAATTCGAAATCCGTGTGAACTGTATACGTATTATATTGAATGGAATTGAAAAAAGAAAAAAACTGAGAACAAAAGGTGTTACCAACCTATGGCTCCTATGCGAAGGAAGAAACTTCCATGGGTATGCTCGTTCTGGGTGGTTTTCCGCTTCCGCTTGATCACCTTGACGACTCCTGCTTCGATATCCTGCTGTGGCTGCGATAGTTGCGCGTTAGGTGTAGAATTTTCCTGGAGGACAACAGGGGGTTCAGATTGAGCTCCAATCTCCGCAACGGGCACCGGAACACCCGACAAACCGGCATCTACCACCCCCTCAGAGTTGCGGCGATATGTGCTCTGTACCCCCGCAAATAAATAGCAAACTTAAGGAATGAAACTGAATCGATGGAAAAAGAAAAGTTGATGAACAAAAGCTGATGGATGATGCCTTGTTGTTTGGTATGCGTTAGTCTAAGTAAATTGTGATTGTTTTGCTATTTATGTAAGTCCTCGTGTTAGTGTAATTAGCGCATGTTTGTCGACGAGCAATTGCGAAACAAAGACGTTTGAAATTAAAAATAGAGAGGGAAAAAAAAAGAATCAGATGAAAGAGAAAAAATAAGAGAAAACAAACAAACGACTGTTATTTGCGTCGCAATGTGTGCGTGTGAAGGCTCGCAGAAGTAATTGCACAGTGGGGTAACAGAAATTCATGTCGTGGTGGTTTAAAAAATCGATAGCCATTTATAACGACGGGGCTGTGAGAGGGGGTGTGTACGTTATATAAAGCCATTGTTCTGTGATGTGCTTCGCGTTTTATTTCTGTTTTATTTATGATATTCAGCTGGAAAATTGGCTAGAATTTATTGCGTGTGATCGAGATATTATAGAAATGTGTGTTTGCGTTAGATGTCTTTCATATTAAACTTTGCGTGTATGCACTGATGTACCACAAAAATAAAGGAAAAACAAGTGCAATAAGCTAGTATGCACTAGGGAAACAAATATTTGTAAAACCGCAGAAGGAAACTCTCATATTACAAAACATATTACATTTGGATGGTATTCCCGAGGCAAGCATTGCTATTTTCATTCATTTCAGTTGAATTCCGATGACATTTTGAAAAATGTTTAGTATTTGTTCACATAAAAAGTAAAAGCTTGTCCAGTTTAATCTATATTTCCATTTCACGTGTTTCGATGCGAGTGTTCTGTCCTGTCATGTACATGTTATTAGTAGCATTACCATAGCAAATGATTTACAGATCTCGTTGATATAACTCAAATGTACACTTCCATAAACATGTTACAGACGTAATGGATGGTGTGTATTTCTGTACTCTTGTTTATTTTTATTTTCAAATGTTTCTAATAACTTTATTACATTGTTATCCTACACATTTTAAAAACACTTGGTGGAACGAAAAACAATCCATCCAGTTAAGTAATACAGATAATGTTTGAATGGCGAACAATTCACTGTATGCATTTAAATAGAACTGCGTTGGTTGCATATAATAAAGTGAACCAAGAAAATATTAATCGAGAACAGTTTAGTATGTGATATAGGAAATTTCATCTTTACATAATGCATTACGTAATGACAAAAACAATAAATATTATTTCAACGAAAGCGTAAAATTGTAATTGTTTTCTTGTAACAAACAAGTAGAGTAAGTTTAAAAATAGATTGCATTATTTTTTTTATTATTGCGAATGCTAATTGTTCTATGATTCAGATGTTGAATGCAAACAAACGAATTCGCAGATTCCTGCAACGTCTTGGCGTAATCACAATAATAACTCATCCCATTTCCATATGTGACAACGGATTACAAGACAGAATACGAAATAATAATTATTATGTGAACATAGTATGCATTAATCTTCTGCAGCATGATGTCATTATCACCTGTAATAGTGATGACTTAACAATGATATATTACAGTTGTAACAGTGGGTTAATGCACCTTTTAAAATAATTAATAATTGATTGGCTATAATCTTGAATTATGAATTTCTGTAATTGTACTGAAAAATTAAATTTTGTGTAAATTTGTAAGAAAATTTAAAAAATATATATTTTATTACATAAAAACGAGCATTCTTGAAGTCTGAAAACTATTGAACGGAATCAAGGTAATTGTTATGTAACTTGATATGATTAATATATTATATTTCTTCCCTAAAATCTATACCAATTATGGGCGTAGTAACGCTTTTGCGCATGTTCTGAATTGGAATGTTTGATACAGGTCAGTATCATTTTCGATAATTACATTATATTTCGCTGCGCCCTAAGTATGAGCCCCACCCTGATTAAGGTACCATAATATGATCATAATAAAAAGTTCACGAAGTTAAAAAAAAAAATCAGTAAAGATAATGGATAAAGGCTAACGGATATATCTTAAAGAATGAGACGATAAATCTTGATCGCCGCTGAAAGAGTGCTTCCTCAATATTCCTATTTATATTTGAAAAGGTTGTTAGGAGCTGAAGTGTATCGTAATTGGACCTGTGGAATTGGTGCCCATTACTAAACGCTGGTTGTTGCTTTTCCACTATATAAATATCCTCTTTTTTGTTGTTTGTATCTCATTTGATTTCCCACTAGAGTGACTTTTAATTAATGCTACTGCAATTTATTCCTAAGGAAAATTCCAGCCGCAGCTTGGAAAAAAGCACTCTTGTTCCTGTAACTAGTGTAAACAGAGATCGCTCACGTTCCTCTTAAAATTCCTAAACGTGCACGCACACAATTCTTAAACGTGACCATATTTTAATTAAAGCAGAAACATTTCAGTACCTCCTTATTTTTAACGTTCTAAAACATTTCGATTTTCGGTTCAACGCTTCTTCGCTCGACCGAAACCAGGAGCGACATCGAGCGTCTGATGAGTGTTTGCGGAAGTTTATTATTTCGTCTTCCTTCCGTGCTTTGGGTGTTTTATAATTAAAAATGTGTGTATGTGTTTTTTTTTTTAAATAACCGTACGGCAAATTGCTTTAGTGAAGTATTCGAGCACGAACGCAATGGTCGCCTTTGTGATAAATGTTGTTGCTTTATATAATATATTGATTTTTCAGAAGGAGAGGTAACCTACACGCACACATTTAATGTGATGAGATGAGGTGAATGTGTAAAAAAAACATGAAAACGAAAAAAAAACCCACCCCTACCGAATAAGCGAAGCATTTCTATCGACTCTAGAGAGTAAGCTTCAAGCAACAACGTAAAAAAAAACAACCATAGAAATTACAAAGCCCACCTTGATTTCTCCCTTATTCTTATTCTTCTTTTTGTCACCGTCTTTCTTGTCGTTCTTCTTATCGTTTTTCTCCCTCTCTTTCTCCTGCTTCTTTTTCTCCTTCTCCTCCTTCTTGTTCTTCTCCTTTATGGCCTTCTCGTTCGGAGCCTTCTTGATTTGCTCTTTCTTCTCGCCGTTGCAGCAGGAGCTCTCCTGCAGCAGGAAGCAGAAAACGTAGAGCAGGAAAAGGATGCTCATTCCATAGAGATACGTGAAAAATCCTTCGTAGTACCAAAGGGGTATGTTATGAGTGACAACGTCAGAGATAACGTAAGCCAGGCAGACGACAATCAAGAGCTTCGCATACACGAAACTCATTATTATAAACAGCGACGTCCTGCAAAAGAAAAAGAAAAAAAAAGTAGAAGACGAGTATGCAGCGAGATTACAAGTGGATGGGAGGTCAAGAAACTTAATGAAAAGCACGAATCTCGTATATATTTATAAGCTAATTTTTAATTAGTTAAACGCACAAATTTATAATTTACCCACCCGGTCATTTTGGTCTGTTTTTTTTGCATTCAGTCGAACGCCGGCGAAAAACGCGGATCTACTGAAATTCTATTTTCGAGCAGTAGGTCAGCGCTTTTTCCCAACTATTTTCAAACACTACAACCGCACGCATAATATTTATATTTACATACAGTTCAGGTATTCAACGATTGCAGTATGATTATCATTATGAAAAGCAATGTATTGTTTCTAACAATATTCTTAATTACACAACCTGTATTTCGCAAATAAACTAAAGTGTAACAAACTTGAAAGTTAATTAATTGAATAGCGTGCTAATAATTATGTTCCCTTTTAGACTCAATTAATGAATCATGTAATTAAAGATAAATAAACGTATTCATAATTATCGAATGGAGTACGCGTTTATCGTGTTTTAGTGAGACGATTTCTATTTATAACAAAGCGGAAAATGCGTGTATAAATAAATACTCACATAATATGTGACTTTGATACGCGTACAAATCTGTCTGGAACGTTTCATTTGGTTTCGGTAACTCAATGCAAATATATAAAAACTTGTTTACCTAGTTATGAACTACGAAATGGAACTAAGGTCAAGTACTTCATTGGTGTCGAATATCCAAGGTACTCGACGGTGTTAATTCTGTTATTGAATAACATACATTTCAATCGTCACGCCATTATATACGTCTTTTTATTTCTGCATTAATGCCTGTTGCACAAACTCATGAATAACACAACATTCTGTGTAATCAAATATTTATCCCACTTCGGATATCCCACGTCCATTACCTAGTTTTTTTTTTGTTTCAACTAATTAATCTAATTTACTGCAACCCATGTTCAACGCACTTAAAAATCTAATTTTAGTTAGCTGTTCCCAACCGTGCCTAAATCGGATTTAACTGCTAGCTGAAAACGAAATAACACACTTAGAAAACAAGTTTATTATTTCGAAACCATAAATAGCATCATCGCCTGCAATTTTACAAGAAAAAAAATGTGTAAACTAAAAGTGAACAGCTCGTTGATTTCATTTATTTATGCCTTGTTTAGGTGATGCCAATATTTGTAAATTGTTTTGGTTTCTCAACAAAAACACGACGGACATGTTGTTTGAAATGTAATAGCTTCGCGGTGAAATATTGCCCAACACGTCGAAGATTAAGGGATATTCATGTTAGGCTTGTTTATTTTCGGTAAATTTGAGGAGCCTTTAAAAATATCTTCATCTGAGAGCATAAGAGTGTCTAGGAAATAGGCAATGTCTTCGTTGCTTACTAACGTTCGTGTGTACGTACTCAAGGATTTCCACATACTGCATGCGAGAAAAGAAATCAAATTCCTAAAAATAACCATCGAAAACATAATGCAAACATTATTAATAATCTGAATTGATAAGAACTTTATTATAATTTGAATAAATCTATTTAGTATCATTTTAGCAAAGATTATTCAAATCTCGTAGTGTAAAACAAATTCTATTACCCATAAACAACTAGATTGTGCAACTGTTTTTACTGTACTTTTCTGAAAGAAATAAAATTAAAACTATCTTCACTATTTGTTAAGTAAACCTTTTGTGCACTGAAATTCTCAATTTTCATGCAGATAATGATGATGAAAATTGTTATATTACATCAATTCAACTAAGTTAGTTTAAATAAAAAAATTATGTGGTTAATTATTGTAATTTCATGAAATTTTCACCTATGATTACCAATTCATTGCGGCTCTTTGTGTATGTTTAATGAATGCCAAATTAATTGCTAATATGCTTGTGTGCATTACCAAATAACAAAAAAGAAACGTGATTAGAGATGTACAATACATGCATAATAAAATTTCGCACCTCTTATCCGGTTTGGCTTGAACCTTTTTAAGCTCCATCTCTTTATTCGCAGAGTTGTGCTTTTCGGCATCGCATCCGCCTTGAGCCCGCGAAACCGGAAGTGTCGCCATGTTGTCTATGGACTCAACATCGACTGTAGCGACCTTGACTTCGCCACCGCCCACCATTTTTAACGTTAAATTACCTCCCGTTCTTATTAACAAATATTATAAAATACTTTGAGGAATTGTAAAATTCCTCGTTTATTAAATAAATATATTAATCTTTAAACACGCGCACTAAAATAAATAAATACTCTCTCTCTCTCTGTTAGTTTCTTTCGTTGATTTCAATCACATCTCTTTGCGAATTCCGTCGGATCTCGATGCATTTAGGCCGGAAACATACATAGGTTTATTTTATTTTTTGTTTGGTTTAAAAGTGTTGATTTAATGGGTAAATTTTATGCGGGGTGGTTTTTAGGGGCGGGTTTTTTTTTTAATATTTAGCTGGACCGTTCACATTTTAATTCGGTTGGTTTTTGAGACACACTGTCCCGACACTAATGAAGTGAGCGATTTGCCTTCTTCCCTTCTTTTTTTCTTTCAATGTGCGCTGACGTGTGCGTTAGAGAGAATGGCAAAATCTAGGTGGACGCAAAGCGTTCGGATGCTGTGGTACAATCTACAATGGGGTTGAAAACTCGCAGAAGCGGGTACAAAGGGAAGGGATGCTGCAAGGAGAGCACGTGACGCGACGCGAATTTTCCCATTGGCTGGCGAAGAGCTGGCCCGGGATTCGACCCAGTGACCTCGCGTGACCTCCCGTAACGTAGATTTTCTGTTATTTACGTAAAACAGTAACGACAGTAACTATCGACGAAAACAAACGTTTCCTGCAGAAATAATTAACATCAAATGCATATCGATATAATGACTGCATACTTATTAATATAATACGTTACAATGCATTGTTATTATTACATAAGCACCTTTAATTCATTTTGTATTTGAAACGAACACTTACACGTGTGAGCGGTTAAATATTTTTTTTTTTGCATAATAGCAGCAACATGTAAATCCAGTATTATCTCTTTATATCCTGAGGTAGATGCTGAATGCTGCTTTTATTGATCTTGCTACCCCGCCAAAAGCCCCTGCACGAGGGCGTACATCAACCCCTAAAATCTCGTGCGCTGCTCCACTGCTACAGCAATTTCAAGTTATTCACCTTAACTACTAATGCATTTTCGTCACACTAATCCCGTTTATCAAATATAAAACTCGCGAACGTTTATTGCTCTACACAAAATAAACAATGTACTTACATTCTACAGCAAATTTATTACGTTCTTACTTGAGGAGACCGAAGACTAATGTAAATTCCTTCCAAGCGAAAGCTTTCAATGAAATGAACTAATTAGCAGGTGGTAGTAGGATGCACTTCTTCCGTGCGAGTGATGCCTAATATCTGTGAAATTCGCTCGAGTCACAGTTTAACGATATTTTCATTAATTAACGTCGAAGAAAGCCTTAGTTAAGAATGAGTTCATTTTTTTTAAATTTAAAATACAAACGCATCTACTAAAAATAACTATCTTCTTTAGCTGTAAACAAAATTAGTGCACGTGGACCATCTTCAAGTCCTTTGATATTAGATATACCACATTTAAAAAAAGAATTAATTTATTATTTTCAATACTATATTTGTATTTGCAATTATCCTAATAACAATGATTCATGTGGTTTTTATTTCTGAAATTATATTCTGAAATTGTTGAAATATATATAGTTTTATTAATATCAAATGTAATTATAAGATTATTCTAATTTACTTCTGTTTATTTTTATATAATTTTATAGTCTACTTTTACTTCATCGGAAGACGGTAGCATATATTACAATAGTGGGAACTGTTGATATTGCGAAGGAGTTGATTACGAAACTTCATTATTACGTGTTTTATATTCTTAGTCCATTGGTCATCGATATTTAAAGAAGAACTATTTATAAAATACATTTAAGATATAAGCTAAAATCTCCGACACGTGATTATTAAATATGAGGCAAAATTCTGTCACACCTACAAAATCCCGTATATATAATACAAATATTATGAATTATGTCTCATCGAAATTGATTCTTTTTTATTTTGGATAAACCATAGCTTATACTTTATAATTAAAGAAGAAACTGGAAAAATATAACCAATTGTAGCAGAGATTTCATGAAAAAACAGCTAATGGAAGAAATTTTAATAATTTAATTTACAATTTTTTGTTTTATAATAAATTAATATTGTAATAAATACGTTAGCTATTAGTGCAAATCAGTGGTTCTCAAACTTATTTGGAAAAAAAATATTACTCAGCGCCCCCTGGATTTTTTTTTTAAATTTCAATAGCAATTCAACAGATAGATATATGTATTAATGTTTCTACCCCCACCAGCTCATTAAATTCATTCATTAAATTTATAACTTATTTACTAAATAATTCAATGTAGAAAATAAATTTTTTTATAAATTATTGTTAAAAAAAGAGATTATTTTGGTTCAATTGAAAGAGAAACATACAAAATATTAAATAGTCAAATTAATTATATTTAATTGTTATTATATAAAATACTGAAGTATTGTAAATATATTTAAATTTAAGTAAAAAATATCGCCTGAAATTTCCACTTGATCGTAAAAAAATAGTTATTTCATGAAGCGATTCTATAGAAAGTTTGGGAATCGTATTAGAGATAAATCCGGTAGCAGGAAAGTAAAATATGTATATATTTCACTATGGAAACGTTCACGGTGAGCTCACGAATGCAATTTTAAAAATCGGGCCTTCACGTTAACATTCTTTCAAATATTTACAAACCAATCTTCTTCCTAAAACATATCATCCAAAAATAGAATTCACGGTATAAGTTTTATAATTTTCAAACTTTATACATATACATCCAATCCTATAAGAAATGAGCACATTCTATTTTTCCTATACACTTTTTATTGTTGCCTTTATAAATAATTAAGTTAAGTTTGATTAGTTTAAGTTCAATTAATATAATAATAATTTGCATGTTTGAATACAATATTTATCTAAAATTATAATTTATGAAATTTAAGTTAATAATTAATTTTGTAATTTATAAATTCATCGATTTGGATAATTGATACTTTTCATACTTTGAAATTAGTTTTTAAAATAATAATGCAGTTAAGTAAATGATATCTGGGTTGAGGACAGATTATTAAATTAAGATTCGATCGATAATAATGAAACAGGTCAAAAGGTTCCCACATTAATAATAAAAAAAAAATGTTGAATGCAACTTGAACAGAGCAGTTGTACTTACTTGGCGTTTTTGGGAAAGAAGGACGTGACTACATAATGGAAATTGTCTTCGTTTTGGCGCGGCATCAGCGGGGTCCTGTCGTTTCTTTGATGGGTGGGCGAAGTGTGCGATCCGTAACCATCGGAGTTCAACTAGATCAAACGAGAAATCCCTCATTAACACCTCGACCAAAAGCACTTAAACATTCGCTCACCTTAACCACGGTAGCTACGGGTTGATTATTGTACGGCAGTTGGTCCATAATTAAAGGCGGAGGCTCGGGAATTTTCTTCGGCGATTCTTCCGGTGGTGGCGGTTGGTCCCCCAACAGTCTCTCTTTCATTTCGTGAATGTACGGGCATCGTTGCATCTTTGACAACTTATACTACAAAGAGAACGAAAACAAACAAGAGGATTTCATTAGTAAATGAACCAGGTGTCCCGAAATCAGCTAACAATGATTGAAGTCATGACGGTTCTAAGATTGAGCACAAACTAACATAACCATGTCCCAAATGACCATTTATAATGAAGACTTATCAGATTCATTGTCACACTTTCGCCTTCTTCGTAACTCACCGTCTTTTTTTCTTTCAAATGAAACATGCCTTAATAAAAAACCAAAAAATGTGGATAAACCAGATTTCTGATGCATCAAAGTGTGCTTGAGCGTCGCTGCACACTCGTACTGTAATGATTCTAATTCATCACAAGCTTAAAAACAATTGTTTTGCGCAGCAGCGCGAAGTTGAACGGCAAACAGGCGATTTGAACATGTGAAAGAAGAAGTAACAAAATCACCTTCAAAACGAATTTCAATTTGAGTTGAGTGTAGCGAATAAATAAACCGACGATAGTAATCTTAAATCAGGATTGTTTGGTCTGTGTGCAAGGAAATGTATCTTGTGGTTAAAATGGAGAATCGAAACAGATAATACTATTATTACACGGTAGCGCAATCCCAAGGAAGTAATTTCAGATATGGGATGTTCAGTTCCTAAGTTCGATGATGCAGAAAGCATTGCCTTTGTTTATGGTATCAAGAAAATCCTCGACGACAAATGGAACAATAGTGTACACGCGAGTCTCATAAATTGGATTACGCTATTAATCCGGTCATCGATAATAAGTAAATCTTATTATTTAATATACGACTCAGTGATTTTATGATGCGCTCGAATCGAATGTGAAAGAAGCATTCAAAGAGTGGTAGAAACTACATTCAATAATATTACCATAACTCATTCTCAGATAGTATTACAAAGTACACGAATATAATGTTACTAGTTAATTGACAAATTTAAATTACAAATGTAGATGTATCCAGTATAAACTAGTATTTAATATCAAAGACGTATTTTTAATATTTGCATTACTAAAAAATAATTATGTAATAAACATAGGATGAAAACAATATTTTTATTCATAATTGTATGCTGCGTTGTATCAGATTTAATCAGTTTCATTTCGTTGTGTGCTTGAAATAACTAATACCATAAGAAAGGTAGTTTTAACATTTGCACATCCTGCCTCCTCCTGTTACGGAAGCATTTCCTGGCAGAAGTTTAATAACTTTGCATATACCACATATAAAGCGATTCCATTCAACTCGACATTCATTGATTCCTTGCAAATAGCGTCATGTTTGATTTCTATTCAAATCTGAACAATATATTGCGAATATAATAATAGATTGAATTCAAAGCATTCATACCCTATTAATATTTTATTTTATATTTTGAATTCGTATTCATTTTATACGTAATAAAAACCTTTATTAAAGTTTTATAAATAATATATTTAGTTTGTTGAATTTCATCTGAATAATTTATTTAATAAAAATAGTTTTTAAATCTGAAATTACTATTTTATTTTACTTACTAATTTAGCAACAAATTTAATTAACAATTTTCTATTATATTTTATATAAAATCAAAAGTTTTGAAACAAATTATTAATAAATAAATGCAATTTACTAATAGTCATTCAAATAACATTTAGTAATACATGTATTAAGCACGTGTGAAAAATGAATGTAAATTGAATCATTTCTAAATGAAGATTACGGAATGCAAATAAGTTATACGAAATGGTGTTCTACAAAATTTGGTAATGGTATTATGTATTGTACTCGTATAATATTTGCGCAACATGTTTTTTTTTTTATGGTAATTTTAAAATCTGAAATGCACGTGTTACTATTTATTCCGTACCAAAAATATAAAAACCGCTGTATCCGGTTTTTTTTTATATTCATACGCGGATCTCTACTTTTTGTTTGCTGTCTAACAGATAGATATAATCGGTGTGATTACGTTATGCTCACGTCCTTGTCCATAGACAGACACTACACATGTGAGCTTAGGGTTGGCATAATTGGTCGTTCGACAACCAGGTGTGCGCTAGTGGAATGTCTTTCTCCGGGAGTTAAAGCTTCCTGAGAGAGCATTCAATATGTCGTAGGGCTATTTCCTGAAGCATAGGGGGATGCAAAGAGATTAAGCTCTCCCCCACACGTGACGACTAAAACCACCTCAACCGCCCTTATCATTTTCTTGCACAAAACAAAGACCCTCGTCGCTTTCCCTCTAATTTCCTTCCACGAATATTACAGACAAAGGGGAGCAAGCAAATCACTTCCATCTGAGCGCCATTTCTTGATGCTCTTTCATTCTACACTGCACAATTAATAAAAAAAAAAAAGATGCATACAACGACTATTTATATTGATTCATAGCAATTTTAATTGAAGATTACTTTACAATAACTTTTTATAAATTACAAATGTAAATTTTCGTTAAAGCGGAAAGGTCCAAACTTAAATAAATAGAACGTAGTTGACAAATTGTAATGAAATGTATACTTTTTATGTATCACTTCCACGCCATTTCTTGATGCTCTTTCATTCTACGCTACATAATTAATTAAAAAAAGATGCATACAACGACTATTTATATTGATTCATAGCAAATATTTTTTTAATTGAAGATTACTTAACAATAACTTTTGATGTGTAAATTTTCGTTAAATCGGAAAGGTCCAAACTTAAATTGTTGACAAATTGTAATGAAATGTATATTTTTCTTGTAGAGAATTATTTAATATAGATTGCAATAATTGCTAGATAATTATGATGGATGCAGTTACAATTGCGTAACTCGTCGCTGGGATCGTTTATGCTTGATTTGCATGAATGTCAATCAAACTAATGAGATATTACTATGAAGAAACAGCATCGTGCGCAAAACAAAAATATTTTGATAAAAACATGAATTGCTGTGGGCCTTATAGTGAGGGTCGACAACTAATGGGTGGATGATCAATGCAAAAAAAAGCAAGCAATACTTATTTTATATGAATATGGGAAAGAATGAATACGAAATAGAAAAAATAAAAATAAGCACCTGTTGGGTTGTTTTGTACTATATAATTAATTCCCTTGCACTTACTATTTTCACTTTGCATCGAATAACTTCCTGTTCGAAATTCTCCTCCTTTTGCTCGCTCATGCCAAACCACCGGTGAGGCAGGCTCAGGCTCAGTACATTTCTTCGGGGATTTACTAAATACTAATTGCAGAGTCAACCCATTCACGCATTTATTCTAGTGCAGTAGTGGAAAAAGCGGTTCTAAAATCTATAATAAGTGACCTGGTTCGCGCTTAAGCTGTTCGATGATGCGGGGGAGCCACAATTCGAGCGAATGTCCGCGTCGCGAATCCTCTTCGTTCAAAACTGGAAATGCATACAATTGGGATACCGGAATGCAATGCGCCGAGAGATCCGGTTCCGGATCCGCGTTGACAGACAACCTAGGCTGTACCAGAGCAATATCTGGGAGGGTCAGTGCAGTTTTCAAAAAAAATTGTTGCACCGGTGGCTGGCGCATTCAATACGGCGCCGGGACGCTGTTTTGTTTATCTCTTTATTATGTGCACACTTTCAAACTGTCGACCTAAACATTAGGTGTTAGAATTGATTGATTTTTGTTACCTGTTGTTTAACATTTCTAAGCAAGCTAAGGAGTTAGCGATGATATTTTATGCTTGCTTCTGTTCTATTTCTTTTTTTTATTATTCGCTTTGGCAAATAGCAACACAAAGGAACAAAGCGCAATGCACTATAGCCGAAGCCACACTAAACAAAACAAGGAGCAAACTTGTTCCATTCACAAGCTCTACCGCAACGCAGTGGAATGCGACTGAACTAGAAGCGGGATTACTTCCTGTAAAACTTCTTCTAAATTATTCGCAGAGGTCGCCACAAACAAGGCAGAAAATTGTACTTTCCGGATTTCCAAAGATCGAATTCTTCAGTAGTTAATTATCGTAATAAAAAACAGAGACCTATGTTTCCGGACTAGATAGAAACAGTTATTAAAGAAATGCAATAATAATACTAATAGTATATAACTGAACGATGAAAAAATGCAATTTAATACAGGAAAAAAGTATTAGAATTTTTGACGTAATAATTAAAAGTTGTATGTTATATTACAATTTAGTATATCCCAATTTTATTATATGATATACATATATATCATTGCATAAATCCATATTATTTATAATTATAAATGTATATGTAATGCCATTCATTTTAAGAAAAACATTATTATCAATTTGATACCATCTAGAAAAAAAAAGTCGCGAAACGAAAATTGTGTTTTTACTCGTAAGGTACTAACATTAAAGTGAAATTTATTCTATCTAAAAGACAATTCGTAGGTTGTGTTAGATTACTATGAGATTTCTCTTATAAATGCGAAATTCTCGTTAAGGTTCTACTGTTTATTCAGAGACTACTACATCCAGTACTTTATGAAAATCCGTCAGGTGCGAAAGGGCTAATCTAATCTGACCTAAAACAAAATCATTCAATTCCTCGGCCGCTCTAAATTGCAGAATGTTTATTTTGGAGGCATTTTAAAGAAGCCCACTCCAATTCCCAAATTTGTAACCCTTCTGGAGTCCCCGAAATAACTGATCAAAATGTATCATTCTTAACAACTGGTTTTTAACGTTATAAAATAAAAACACTTAATACCTAGGCTATTATTATCTAAATCAAAATTGTAACGCATTAGCAGGAAATGGAATAAACATAAATAAATATTTAAAATCAACTCTTTTTAATGTTCACATAATAAATAAATATTATATTTTATTATTTGATCAGATAGGTCAAAGATGTTCCCACATTAAACTCTTTCTTATTTTCCACCAATTTAATAGAATTGGAATCAACTGATACATTGAATACGCTACAGTTCTATGCTCTTCCAATCTATAAATAAAATCATTACTCGTGATTAACTATTTTTTGAAAAATAAACGAACCGTCAGGTGGGAAAGGGCTAATCTAATCTGGCCTAACATACAATCAATCAATTCCCCGACCGCTCCAAATTGCAGAATGTTTATTTTGGAGGCATTTTAAAGAAGCCCACTCAAATTCCCAAATTTGTAACCCTTCTGGAGTCCCCGAAATAACTGCTCAAAATTTATCATTCTTAACAACTATTTTTTAACGTTACAAAATAAAAACACTTAATACCTAGACTATTATTATCAAAAATGGTAACGCATTAGCAGGAAATGGAATAAACATAAATAAATATTTAAAATCAACTCTTTTTAATGTTCACATAATAAATAAATATTATATTTTCTTATTTGATCAGATAGGTCAAAGATGTTCCCACATTAAACTCTTTCTTATTTTCCACTAATTTAATAGAATTGGAATCAACTGATACATTGAATACACTGTTGTTTCCAATCAGCACCTTATCTTTAGTTGGATTATTGAATGGAGGCATTTTCACTTCACCCAAAATAGGATCCTCGAAACGCCACAGTTCTATGCTCTTCCAATCTATAAAAAAAAATCGTTACTCGTGATTCTCTATTTTTTTGAAAATAAACGAACCTTTAATAGCCTTAATTTCCTTAGATAATCTGGTTGCAATTTTCTCGAACGTTTCGCCGTCGCTAATCTTAAGAGTATGCGAAAACAAACCATTGTGAGCAATGGGATTTATGAATTTCAAAGAAACACCCGGCTTAGCACTGAAAATAACAAAAGGTTGACCTGGACAACATTCCTTCATTTTCTCGGAAGCGCCTTCTTCATCTGTATAACGAACAATAACTTCATCCACCTACAATTTAAATGTTAGTCTATTTACACTCAATACAGGAAAAAATTAAAATATATACGTCTAAAGTATTGGCCAAGTAAATACTATTGTTCTTCAAAACTTCAGCTTCGTTGAATTCAAGAGTTAGAGCCAAGGCTTTAGAACCTAATTGTTCTAGTTTTTCACGAGTGGCTTGTACGAACGGCATGACACGCTTCATATATTTTTTCAGAACTTCTTTCTTTGCGAGTTCCGCCGATAAAATTTTGTTTTCTGGTAACTTTCCAGATTCCTACAATATTAAACATAAATATTTTTTGTATTTCCCAAGCAAAAGTGTTAAGTACATCGTGCATCGATTTAAGCGTTTGTAAAATACAAGCCTGCCACGTTGGGAAAGTTTTCGCTACCCAAATCTCAACGACATTCGGTTTTTCAACAGACGCTGGCTTTGGATTGGTTTTCGATGCTTTTGGTCCTTGCATATGCGTTTTCAAGTGAATACGGAAAGAATGAGCGACTTCCATTAGATATTCAGATGATTTGATCTTAATTTCATCAATTTTACCCACTTCAGGCCATTTAGCTTTTACTACACTACCCTCCTAAAATATAACCATTTAATATATGTTTCGTTTAGAGTTTACCATATATAATACCTTTCCTAACAATTTCCAAACGTATTCTGATACATGTGGACAGATTGGACACAAAACTAAAGCTTGAACTTCAATAAATTGTAGAATTAAATCTTTATGGATTCCGTCCATTGCAGAAAGATTCAAATATTTATCTCTCACAGCTTGAAGTTCAAAGAATCCAGTTCTTAGAGCTTCTTTGAACAACATTTTGTTGTAATTATCATCGGTTTCATTAATTTTCAAGTAAATTTCACTTTGAAACACTTGATCATTGAAAGTATTAGGTTCGCCAGTTCTTAAACTTGCTTTGTTTGCTAATATTTCTTTAACCCATTCAATAAAGGTATACAATCGCAATATACCGGCGTCGGCCATAGATTCTACGAAATTTGCATCTTCGACAGAATCACCAGCATCGGCTAAGCAAAGTCTCATGCCATCAGCACTAAATTTCTTGATAGCTTCGTTAAGTGTCAAGAAATTACCTTCCGACTTGGACATCTTAGCAGAGTTAAGCATCAAATGACCATTCGCACGTATGCTTTGCGGCCACTTGGATTCGTCTTCGGGCCACATAGCGCAATGGTTATAAATGAAGTATGTCAAATGGTTTTGAACTAAATCCTTGCCAGACACACGAAGATCAACTGGATACCAGTACTCAAATTCCCTCTTCATCAAATCCAAACTCTCTTTTTTGATTGCTGATTTTGACGGGAATTTCGCATTCTTATAGAAAATGTAATCCCAGACTTCTGGCGTAAGTTGTTCTGCCTTGATGCCTAACAAATTTGGCTTTTCTCCTTTGAAAGTATTTCCCTGAATCAAATGAGCTATTGTGTAATAAGCCATGTAGATAGTAGAATCAGATAATGATTCTATAAGCCATTGTTCGTCCCATGGCAGTTTAGTTCCTAAACCATAAGTTCTAGAGCAGGCATGCTCATGCAACCAATTTAAACAACCAGCAAAATTCTTTTTGACTTCATCATGGTAACAATTCATATTTTCCAAAGATTTTTCGGCTTGTGCTTTCCATTTTTCTTCACCGTAATCAAGGTACCATTGGTCACAAAGTGATACTACACATTCATCTGTTGATCTCGAGATAATAGTTTTTTCAGGCTCGTAATAAATAACTGCCTCATTCTTATCTACCAAAGACTTTTGTAAGCATTTTTTAATATCCTGAATCTTATTACCCTTATGTTCACCGACAATCAATACACCATCATAGAAACCCTTCAAATAAACAATTTCTTTAGCTTCCAGCAGCTTTTCTTTATCATTTTGACTCTGAATCTTTAACTTATCATACATAGTGACTGCAGACAAGTTACCTAATTCTGGTACATCAATAATTGGGATTGGATCATACGGCAGAACCATTTCGTCAGATATTCCATACTTTTCCCTGAAAGGCTGTTTCTTCTTTAGATCAACCAAAGCAGCATAGTCATCAGGTGAATCAGATGGTACACTTGTTACGACCCCGGTACCCTTATCTTCCTTAATTGTAAGCATCGGAAGTGCGTAAATCTTCTCATACGATGTCATTGGTGCTTTCAAAGCACATCCTAATAAATCTTGTCCCAACAGTTCTTGGAGAACCTTGTATGATCCTTCGGTTTCCGTAAATCCTTGATAACACATATTCCTTGCTGAGCGAGCCGTGCATATAAAAATTTCACCGGATTTGGTTTCAAAAGCTATATATTTCATGTCAGGTCTGACCCAGCAATTCGTTTGACCATACATAGTTTCAGGCCTCAAAGTCGCAGCTACCATATAAATTGGTTTTTTATAACAGCTAAACGTAATATATGATATAATCGAATATTATACATTTTCTTTGTAACTTACCTCAGCTTTTGTGGATATGGTTGTAAAACTTTCATTTTTATCAAAGTATATTCTTGTGGTCCTACACCTTCTCCAGAAGATCTGTCATGATCCATACAAGGTTGCCCATCTTTGGGTGAATAAATGGTATACCTTTTACCATACTGGATCTTGTTCCTTTCCTTCAATTTCAAAAACTGCCAGCGAACAAAAGAATCAAAGAAAGGATTTGCATCAGTTGTAATGAAAGTTCTCCTCCAATCAACCTGAATTAATTTACAGTTTAGAATTATATTTGACGATAATTAATTTTAGTTATTACGTGAATTCCAAAGCTCGATAAATCTTGAATTGCAAGTGGTGGAAAATAATCCAGCCAGTAGCTTTCATCTGCAAATTTAACAATTTCTTCATCATTCATTCCTAAACTTTGCATAATTTGCCACTGATATTTGGCTGTTCCTGCTTTAGCTACAGCTTTACTCTATGAAAATCATATAAATAAAATTATAGTTTTAAAAAAAAATCTATAGAATGTGATTACTTTTTTTCCTTTGCTTTTATCTTTTGGGATGACATCCTTCTCTTCAACTACAACAGTTTCCTCATGCTCAGGGAAATTAGGTGGATTCCCATAAAGTTCAATTTCCCTTTTCAACTTGTCTGCACAAGCTTTAATTGGCATTCCAGTACAATGGAAACCAAATGGGAATAAAACTTTTTTTCCCTTCAAACGATGGTACCTAACTGCAAATTCACACTTTGATAAAGAAAATGTATGGCCAAGATGTAGGCGTCCATTCATATAAGGAAATGGAAAAGTGCACATGAATTTCTCATCTGGAGATTTCCTGGCCTCTTTGGGTGACTCTTCTTCATAAATTTTATCCTTTTCCCATTTCTCTTGAACTTCTTGTTCAATTTTCTGTAGGTACTCTACTTTGAAAGTACCTTTCCTTTCAACAGCAGCCTGCAATAATTTAGAAGCATGAGTGCAATTGTAGCAATATTGTGCATGAGAATACTAATAACAACAAGCATTATATTAATACTTTCCGTTTAGTTAAATATTAATATTGAAGACATGACTTACCATCACTAAATAATATAAATTATTTAGTATTTATTGGTGTTTCATACAAGACTATTATTTTATTATCCTGACACGTTTCTCCACTGCTTTGCGGTGACAGTGTCGAACATAACCTTTACAGCTGACTCAGTCAAAATATTCTAATAAGAAAATTCTTATAAGTATTATTATAATTTAAATACATTCATGATTGTCTCATAAACATATTATATATATTACTAAATATATTCGCATAATAATTTTAATGAAAAGTTTGAAATAAAATGAAGATTAACGTATAGGCAAATCTATTTGCATCAGATCATTGTGGAAAGCTATATTCTTATTCAGTTATTTACTTGAATAAACTTAGTATTGTTTTATTTACAAGTATTATCAATTAACTAATAAAATGAGTATTATAGTCATAATTAAGTTAATTAATTTGATGAAATTCATAAAAATAAAATTATATTTACCAGGGGTGGCCAGACTTTTTTAAAAAATCTCAATCATGATTACAACAAGACTTTTGAAGAGACGCATGTGGCTCGCGAGCCACAGTTTGGCCACCCCTGTAATATACTGTTAAATATAATATAAACTTTGCAGTATTTTCTTTGTAAAGCATCATAAACATATTTGCTTATATAAAATATTTGGTAAATTCAATTTTTATTGAAAAAATGAACGACTTTGTATATAGATAGATTATAACAAATATGTAACAATGTTTTGCAGTGCCAGATCCACTAAGTGCGAGGTTGCTCAAATTAGAATTTACATGTTTTAAATATTTATTTAAAACAAACTCCAATTATAAATTTAAAAAATTACATTAAAAAACCAAATATAGAAACAATGTCTGAAATTTGTTGAATAGTTCATTATATTCAACAAATTTCAGAGCTGTTTTACATGTTTCAAAGTTTTTGCTTTGAAAAATCTTCATCTTGACTCGACATCATCGCTAAACTATTTAATCTATACTGAGACACTGTCGATCTTAGATAGCTTTTTTTTATTTAGAAAAGGACCTCTTTCCAGAAGCAACGCTTACTTGAATTGATAAATATATTTAAAGCTCTGTCCTTTTCAGATAAAAATTCAAACATTTTAAATGGTTGTTGGAAATATTTTGATAAAAGAATAAATTTTGGAGCTTCAATTTCTTCAACTAACTTCACATCCTTGACGATATCAACAGATGTATCATTAATCTTAGACTCTACCAGAGCAAATTCTAAATCTGCTGCATTTCTTCTTTTTCCATATTTATAAACCTTCCCAAAAACCAAAATAAATCATTATGGTTTTTGAATTGTTCAAAACGAACTTCTAAAGATTGTTTAGCTTTAATTAAAACTAAATTAAAGAAGATCTATAATAAGTTCATCATCGCTTTAATAATTGAAAAGTTTCTTTCTTTTTAAGTAGACGTTATCTCAATGTCTCTTTTTGGTTTGCCTGTATTGATTTTGGTTGTATTTTAGAAATACATCTCAATAATTTATAGACGTATTTATTTTCTTATCCACTCTAATGCCCTTGGTCTAAGAAAATGTTAGAAAAATGTATGAAAAATGTTATACAAACTATTTTGTTATATGGGTATTTTCATATCCAGTGGTCTAGGTCAAGTGGAGGTTTTTTTTTAAAACATAAAAACAAATTCATGATATGGGTATTATCAGCTTTTAAAACGACAAATTGGTGGATATGACGTCTAGTGTCTGTGGGGTCCGATTTAGCACAATTGGCTCAAATCCGGCCCTGATGTTTTGCTTTAAAGAACGTCATTGGTATAACATTCCACATTCGTGTAATTATACTTGAGTTATAATTATTTACAAACTTATTATGTAAGCCAAGGTGTTTGATATACTGTAACTTTTATGGACAATAACTGACAAGTCTTACCATTTGCAACGTCAAAGTTGATCATTTTAGAAAGTTAAACTAAAATAATACTAAATAAAAATTGTATATTTATTAATAGTATTTGTATTTAATGGGAAATTAAAAAAAAGGTATAATATAACAGAATATGTTTTATGTGAAGATATTTTAAGACAATATTGTTATTTCACTCATTCCAAATTGGTACGCTTTTTATTTAAAACTATTGTTTTTGATCGTTTAAGTAATATAACAAAAATACTTTTTTTTTATATAAAACCTTTTGACAAGTTTGTTTAGCATATTTTATTCAATAATAATAAATCTCATATTTATATTATATCTGTGTGCTATTGGCTAAGAAGCATGGACATGAGAGATGACCTTCTGACTGCAATATAAATTTTGTTGTCATTTACGTTTCTGTCAAAACACATTATGTTTGTACAACGACGGAAAGTTCAATCACTTCAGCTAATATATTATTTACAGCGGAGCGCCATTCTAAATGTTGAAGACCACGTCCATCAACGGCACAAACAAAACACTCGAAGAACATATATTCTTGAACACCGATGGAAACTGTAATTTAACGTGGCTATGACGAATCGCGAACGTGTATAAATATTATATAATTACTTTTCACTAGGCACGCGAAACTAATTGCCGCAGATGAGACAATTTGTTAAGCGAGTACTTGAGCACGCAAACTGTGGATTTACAGCAGTTACTGGAAAGCAAGGATTTATAATACGCTCTCTTGCAACTATTCAATAGCATATTACCATTTAAATTTAAATTCATATTATAGTCACAGAAGCTTGCATTGTTAATTTATTTAGCGATAGGAATCTTCCTGGTTGCTTTAATAGTTAGTCTCGGTTCTTCCGAGTCCAGATGGCTTAATGGGTGTCATGTTTGGAAATCATCTGCTTGACCACCCCCAACACTGTATCTTTTTTTACTAACCATATTTTTTACCCAGGTGTTCGCGCAGAGATTCCAAGCATCTGTCCGCTCCGTAGGTGATGATTATTAATAATTGCGATGACCATAGACTTCTTCGGCCCCATGAAGGGCAGTATTGTTTAAAGCAGCTGATTTCGTTGTGTTTTTTTAATACTTTGATACCTACAAACTCCGCCTCTTCTCCAGGTGAATGCGGGTGCGAGGATAGTTAAATTGATAATGATACCATCTTCGGTTCAGTCAAAATTTGTATTTCGCCACGCGTGTACCTTCTCTACCTTCCTTTTTTTTTATTTATATTTATGCAATGCTCTGTAAAGATCATGTGTAACACGATGCCCAACTACTGGACCCAAAAAGAGGTCTACGATTCATGGATGGATCGCGAAGCTCACGTTACGGCGCCGTCCTGGGCAGATGGAGACGACGAGGACAATGGGCACTGCGATGTGTCCAAACAGCCTTTGAGAGAAAAGAATTGCAGGAAGAATGGGAAGTACACCCACGTGCCTCACAGAGATAAACCACCGCAGGTTGTCGCGAGGAGGAACGCTCGGGAACGAAATCGAGTTCAAGCCGTCAATAGTGCCTTCATGAAGTTGAGGAAGGCTGTGCCATACGAGAATAACAGGTATTTAAAAGACATCTGAAATTACATACTTTCTTCCATTGTCCAATTGTCTCCACCATCTTCTTCGGCATCTTTTTACGGACCACTTTTAACGGCCTGTCAAAATAATGGAACTATTCACGTCCATCACAATAACATTATATTGGAAAGGTAAATCCGTCATGACCTAAGTGAATAATACAAATAAAATAACGCAAGAAAACGAATACATCTTCACCTTCATCCTACACCCTTAGCATGCATTCATTCATTCGGTCATTATTTATAGCGAACAATAAATTTATTTCGAATATTATTGCCTCCATAAATGTTTCGCGTGTCACATGAATACGAGTTTTATGAAACATAAACATAAACTTTTCAATTGATTTTATTTTACACGTGAGACTCTAAAGCGAAGCACCTGAAGGAAGAAAACAACACGCAGCGAATACATAATCCAAGGACATTAAAATCAATCGAATTAATACAAACTCAAACAATTGTATTACTTGACAATAGTATTTTTTTTAAATAATATCCTTTCATGTTTGGTTTGTTCTAGGGGAAAGCGGATTAGTAAGGTAAAGACTCTTCAAAATGCCATCGAATACATTAACAATCTACAGGAACTCTTAAGGAACGATGGATATTGCGAACCATTAAACATAGTGGTAAGCATTAATCATAAACACAAGCATAACTGTTTTTATAATAACTCTTAGTAAATTACTCAACTTTGACAACAAAATATTTTTTTAAGTGATTATTGTTGAGAAAAACAAATTTTAATTGCATAAATATAGAAGTTCAGATCAAATATTAATTAGATCCATATGTGGAAGTCTTTGTTTATTATGTAATTATCTTTGTATTAATTTCAGGCAAGTTATTATTATCCGTCACCTCCGAATGTTGCGGTTAACGAATTAGAATATGGACAGGGCGGAGGATACTATTAAAACACAACATTAGGATAATTGGAACGGATCTAGTCATTTCTTCAAATTGAATATTTATGTGCACCAAAGGAATAAAAATAAAACCTAGAGAAAGATTATTTAATTTTACTACAGTTTTATTGACTGTAGAGCTCTTTTAATGGGTTCATTAAAGTTATATAGCGAATAACTAAACTGCTGTGTTTTATTTACTATAGCGTTATTATTATTTTCCTCCTCTTTCTCTTCTCTTCTCTTCTCCAACGACCAAGAATAAATAAACGATTTTCTGTTACGCAATCCCAAGTTGCCGCTTTGACATTCCGCGAACGCGCGGACTATTTTACTTTTATTTGTTTCTTCGATTCTTTTTCTTTACCATTTAAAGGATCTAACTGTAATCACGTGTAATAAATAAGAGCAACGTAGGAAATACAATATCAATTATAATATTCTCCTATTTATAAAAATGTGCTCAGCGGAGCACGTGTTTATTAGTTAGATTATGTTTTATGCATGAAGGATTGTGAGGGCGCCCACATGTAGTTTCAATTGTCCGTCCTTCGGTTCCGTAATTGATTTGGAAGAGGTAAAAGAACTTGCGACTGGATTGAAATTCCCTTCTTCTCCTAACCCCCTTCTCCTCGTCCTCCTTCCACCATAATCATTATTGTTTGTTTTGTTTTGCTTTCGTCGAATTATCCAGAGGTATTATAGAAGAACGTCCTTACGTCAGCTAGAGTGTGACCTGATCGAAATGCACGAGTCGTCGTTTCCTGTTTCGAGATGTGTACATATGTGTGTATATATATATGTATTACCCATGTATGTGTGTGGGTACACATAGATAACATCAACAACAACACAAAAAAAAGAACCACTACGTCTCTCTTGGATTTTTATTTCCAAGAACGAACGTATTCTCATATCCACTTCATTAGAACCAACGGTTCCAGATTATCTATTGAAATTTTAATTGGTCACAGGTTCTGGGAATCTCTAAATACATTATGTTATTATGGATGCTGAATGAATAATTATCAATCAATCGGACACAATAAATCCCCTAAGCAAATGGCTTCAGTTCTTCGTATGAAACATTTAGTTATACGTGCGTAACGACCATAAAAATCCAATTTAAATGGCTCACTCACTACTGTCCACCTCTGGAGTCAGTTATATAACTAATCGTAACATAACAAAACAAAAACTAATCACTGCTTAAAATATTTCTATGAAATTAGAATAATTGGTACAAAAAATTATTTCAATTTATCTTTAATCATTTTAGTCATTGGTTCTATTAGGTTTGATTAATTGAATAGGTTGAATAATAAATGTTATGACTATTAGTTTATTGAATGAACATTATGTTTTGACAGGTATTGTATATATAGAAGCAAATAATAACAATGGACTTACAATTTAAAATTTTAGCAAACTTGATCTCTGTATTCATTTGATAAATTATCAACATCTTTGTATGTAGTTTTAAGAGTTATATACTTGGTTGTCTTTTTATGCGGTAGATACGTTCCACAGGAAAACGCATAAAAATAAATCGCACAAAAAAGGACTAGACACACGTATTAAAAATAAAGGATACGTTCCATAATTTTTTAAAACCGCATAAAACTAAACAATACACCGAAAATCGCATAAAAAAGGGTTTTTTAAATTTCAGAAAAATAATTAGTCTTACTATATTCTTTCTGAAATGTTTATTCATAATTTTATAAAAACGTTAACAATCATAGACAAATTTATTAAATTTCAGAAAAATATAATCTTAACATATTCCTTCTAAATTTATACGGAAAAAATTTACAAAAAAAAAAACAGAAAATTTTTATGAAAGTTAATTTTGCTTCACATTTTTTTCTTTAGAATTATCGTCGCTATATGAGAGTGTTCGGCATAATTTGCGAACTGGTTCTAAATCACTTTCATCACTAGAAGAGATAGTCAGCATATCAGATCTATGTCCTGAAGATAATGATTCTTCACAAGTAAAATTAGTCTCAACTTCGCATGTTAATTTTTTCCCTTTGACAATATAATCAGTGATTAAACTTTGCCATGATTTTGCTATTTTTTTGTACAATTCCTGATTTCCAGAAATGCAATTGTAAAGATTGCGTTGAAATTTGAATGCTCATCTTTTTCGATGAAATGGTTTGCCAATTTGTGTCAAAATGGTCTAAACTAGTTATTGAAAAAAATTCTTCTTGAAATAAAAACCGCATAACTTCAAAACCGCATAAAAAGAGGAGGTGTACTTAATATAATTTGACATTTCTAAGATTATATAAATTCCTTGAAATATAAAATGAATCAGTGTTTAATCTATGTAAGAAAAGGAAGTAAAGGAAAATAGAAAGTGAATGTCATAGAGATGACTTAATAAAATATATAATAAAAGTGATGAGCTGATAAACAAAGATCTAGAAATGTTTAGTGAGTCATTACTAAAGTAATTCATGACTTGTAGCTTCGGAGTAGTGCAAGAGAAAGAATTTAAAAAAAAATGTGGAACGTGATTTAGCAAATAGATTTTCGTACGGAACGTAATGGAAAGTGTAATTTCCTAAGATGATTCGAAGGTAATACGATTTTTTTGTAATTAGCCACAATAAACAATCTTAGAACATAACAATTTTCCCAATAAATTTGCATGTATTATTTAATTAGTGGTAACGTCATGTTTCGCATAATTAATATTGCGCTGCATTTAAGGAAGTATCTCTGAAACCGTAATAGTTAATTATATACATGTGCACGTCCTTGTGCATACGAGTAATGTCCTCTTGTACGTGAAAATATCTCTAAGTACACCTACATTACCTGAGCAGTAAGTACAGAATAACATCGTGCTCATACCACACCTTAATATGAACAGAACGTAGTTGCAGTCCGACAAAACTGAAACAATGATGGACAAAAATGAATCGTGATTAGTTAAATTGGACGAATCTAATAATGGATTAGTATTACGTATTCAATGTTGTCGACTGTTAAAAAGCCATTTGGCCCGTGTATTAAATGGACAATGGTACAAGCAAGCAGGCAGGCAAATTCAATGGAAACGTGGTTACAATTTACCCGGCACGGGGTAAATACACTCTCTTAAAACAAAGGACATTCCAATATGTCCTTTTCCGAAAATCAATTTTTCCAGTTCCGTTTGCAATCACTCAAAAATTCACCGCGCATCGTCGCACGAACGCTTGCTAACAACACACATTTCAACCCATGATGTGAATACATTTTCATTCATTCTTCGTAACACCACGAAGGAATATTAAATATTCCCTCGGAGTTCAACTGGATTCCCACACATGCAGCTACTTCCAAGAAAATTCACACAGCCACGACGATTCCACAAACTACATTTCCAAATATCCAAAAATATCTAATTCCAATAATAACAACTTCCTTGTCGATTATATCGGATTGCTGATGAAAGAAACACACAGAGAGTGAGAGAAGAGGACTACGGGTTTTACAAGAAATTCAAATTAAATCTATCTCTCTCTCTCTACAACTCGATCCCAATCATCTCGAAGCGCACTTCCTGTTTTCGGAAAATCTCGTCCTTAATTACTAAGACCTGTTAAATAAATACTGTTATATGCGAAGTGCAATGAACATACAGAAAACATTAAAAAAAAGGATAAAGATGTGCATTTTTTTTTATTATTATTAGATCGTTTATACAGTGCTATTGGGAAATACTGCTTGTTTTTCCTGACCGCAACAATAAGTGTTTACAATGAAATTCTGTTACCACAAAATGAAAATTTACATAAGACTGTTTTTAATTATTTCACATTATTTGATTAAAATATTCATAAATTTCATAAATATATGCTTTGTAAAATATAATAAAGTTGTTAACTCTTTTAACCATCAACTTTTACATTGAATAAAGATCTAATATTCTCTTGAAATTTTTGAATCCTATTGATTCTGGCCAAATTTTGTTGGCTTTAAATTATAATAATTTTGTATATAAAATGAAGCTTGAAATTGCTTCATTATCAGAGGTATTACAGTATTATTAAGTTAATAAACTGACTATTTTCTCTACTATTTCCATTTTTTCCAAAAACACAAGCTGCTTGGTAAACAAATATACTTAATATGAAATAAATAACGTGATTACAGAACGTCAATATAAAGGTCAATCAAGTCATTAAGAAGAAACTATAAATATTGTATGTTCATGAGTTGTAAAATTATTATTGTTTTAATACGCAGAAAGATTGTTAAGCGTAGAGCTTGAAATAATGAAAAAGGAATGCGGAAGATGTGGTAAACCTCCTGGAGAAGAGACTAAAAGAATTAGTACTCCAGTTGCAGTAATGTAAAATAGAGAATAGCTGGTACAATAACAGTTAGATGGATGTACATATATTTGGCAGACTACCAGCTTGTTCGTATCGTTAAAAAAAAACAATCATTTTGAAATGCGTAAGAAATACATATAATTGAGTAATGTTTAATATTGTAATAACAAATAAATGTTCTATTTTTATTGTAAATTATAAATATATATCTAATTGGAAATTTTGGGTACTTCCGCAAACATGATAGAAATACCCGCCCTCTCTTGTTGTTCTAAGTTTACTTAGACGTTTAAACAATCTTTATTGGGCCAGAAAAAGAGTGAGTTTGACTAAATAAGAGAGTAATAAAAAGTTAGTTGCAGCTGCGAATCATATTAAATGAGAGATCGGCAACATTTTTATTGGTTCTTTCTTTCGGGTCTGCACTATTTCTTTTTGTGTTAACTAAACCAATCGAAAATGGGCACGCATTTGCTTTTATATGTATTAAAAGGAATAAATATATTTTTTAATTTTCAATAGAAATAAAATTTATAAATAAAAATATATTTCGTTTATGTTTTATTATGTTTATTTTCAATAAAATCATGAATGAGCAATATAAATCATTGAAAAAAGAAAAAAGAAACGGAATTAATTTATGCGCTGGAAATGGAATACGTAATAGGATTTAGTTAGTCCGATCAGCACACGAATGCTTTTGAATTATGTGATTTGCATAAATCCACTT